AACAGATGGACTACAGTCTGTAACTGTAGAACTACAAAGTGCACCTATATAGTAAGTGGAGCTGATTAAATGGACAATGAGCGTAGAAACAAGGGGGTGGTCATAATGTTACACCTGATCAATGTACGTCCATATACAGGGTGATTCAAAAAGATTCATCCGATTTCAAAGCTCCATATTTTTACAACCGTGAGGCGCCTAGGAACCAATCACAATCCAATTGAAAGAGGGAGTCATAGAGTTTCTGACTGGCTCCTTTCAGTCTGAGAGGAGATGAGACCCCTGAGCAGAAAGCGTTCTGCATTCTCCACTTCAATAAGAGTGAATCCGTCATAACTGTGCAGCGTGATTTTCGTGGGCAGTGAACCTCAGACAGCTCAGAGCGTTCGTCGTTGGTTCCACAACACTGGATGATCTCCGAAATCGCACTGAAAGAGCCGTGAGTGCAGCGACACCCGACATGCTCAATCCAGTATGGGATGAATTTGACTATGGCGTTGATGTTGTCCGTACAGCTGGAGGAGGTTCATACTGAGCACTTAATAAACCTTATGCTCATTTAAACCATTTACAGTTTACTGCATTGTTCTGTGATGATTCACAAGTGAAATAAATCATTTTGAAATCGGATGAATCGTTTGGAATCACGCTGTATATAGATACACCCACAGCTATGCGTACATACCCTTACTAACACATATACAAACGAAAAAACTGGAGCAAAGAGAGTGATGACATGAAGAGATTGACCTGCTGTCCTATCCTAGCATGCATTACAGTTTGGGTACTATATGTCCCTTATTGTCCATCATCAAACACTTTACAGGCGTTAAGCAGTTCACTAATGTTACCAGCCAAATTTCCCCATATTTGGATTGTTGAAACCTTAGCACTGTGAATTCTAGCAGTAGAGAGATCCATCATAACTTTATCATGAAAATAATAAAACCACTTCCTACTATGCAATATATAAGGGGGAGTATATTCTCCATCAATCTGAAGAACCCTTTCAGAATGCAAAGAACCTTTTAATCATGCAAAGGGCTCAGTCTACTGTTAACAATGATGGTCCATAGAAAACTTATTTATTGCCATGATTTTTAATAATAACATTGGTGTATTTTATCACGTTTTCCTGCAATTTTATAAAAGTAATAAGCCACTCAAGGATGTGCATTACAGTGTCTTTCCTCCAGTCTGCCTTTGGTAAAACTGTAAAAGTGTAAAATATTGTTTGTCATTTATCTGTAGAAAATGAGAGAGATGGAAATGAGATAAGGTTTTTATGCATTTAAAGTCCAGAGCACACTGACCCAGCGATCTCCGACAAAGGAGTCTCCTCAGTTCACAATAGTTCATTTGGTTTGTCAGCTCTTATTCTGAAGCAGGTGCTAAGAGCTGAATGTACTTCCCGGGTCAGGGTACCATGGCCTCATCAAGATTTAAAATCATCGCCTTAAGGTGCATCACCAAACAAAGTGCTGCCTCCTGTGTGTAACTCAGATGCAGTGTTAGCCCATAGCTCCTTGGAAAAGCTCTTCTGGTTTGGCAGGAACTCTAAAGACACTTGATAATTAACAGGCCTGAGGTGAACAGACCAAAAAACTCTCTGTTTGAGAAGACACAGCCCAGCTACCACAACATGACAGAGAATTAGAAAAAGCTTTAACAGAGTGGATGTTTCACTTCAGGTCCAGATCTTCTGTGGAAGTGTGTTGGGAAGGCAGCCAACATCCTGTGATTGTGATAGTTGACTAGATAGAGCTGCCATACAGAGCACACAACCACCGCATTAGGAACAGAGCATTTCAAATTACATCCATTAAAGTCTGAGAATCTCTGTAATTTTAGGATAAAATAAGTTGATTGGTTGAAAAAAACTTGTCACAGTGAAATTTTTTTCAAAAACACTTTTAATGTATTTTTTATGTTTTATGTCCTTTATAGTGGACAATACGACGTTGGATAGTAATTTTGTTGGTGTCATTTTTCTTGTTTCCTGTACTGAAGGCTGACCAAAACCCTGCTGCAACATCAGCAACTACTTCAAAAACCTTGTCATCAGTCTTCAAAGTCCAGATTATCAATGTACAGCTCAAAGTAAATCCAAGGCACCCAGTCAGTTTGGCTTTGAGTGGTCATTTAGCAGCAAACTGTTCCATAGTAGGGATGAATCTTAGGTATGAACGGAGAAGGAAGAGAATAATTTACTTTCAATGTTTTCATTTTTAAATGTACAATTACATAAAAGGAGATCAGATCCCGAGCTTAAATACCTGCATGCATTTATTCCAGTTGTCCATTTAGCAGTAAGAGTAAAACTCAAAATACTGGCGGGAACAAAAAATGAAGACCCTAACCCAAAAAGAAGAAAATCACTATCACTTCCTGGATGTCATTTGGCCAATTAGCCTGCAGATTTGTGCCCTAGGAGGTGGAGCTTAGACTTTAAAAGCAGTGTGCCAGAGTTTGTCACCGACCAGGCATAACATTATGACCACCTCCTTGTTTCTACGCTCATTGTCCATTTATCAGCTCCACTTACTATATAGGTGCACTTTGTAGTTCTACAGTTACAGACTGTAGTCCATCTGTTTCTCTGCATACTTTGTTAGCCCCCTTTTACCCTGTTCTTCAGTGGTCAGGATCCTCATGGACCCTCACAGAGCAGGTACTATTTGGGTGGTGGATCATTCTCAGCACTGCAGTAACACTGACGTGGTGGTGGTGTGTTAGTGTGTGTTGCGCTGGTACAAGTGGATCAGACACAGCAGTGCTGCTGGAGTTTTTAAACACTGTGTCCACTCACTGTCCACTCTATTAGACACTCCTACCTTCTCAGTCCACCTTGTAGATGTAAAGTCAGAGACGATAGCTCATCTGCTGCTGCACAGTTTGTGTTGGTCATCCTCTAGTCCTTCATCAGTGGTCACAGGACGCTGTTGGCTGGATATTTTTGGTTGGTGGACTATTCTCAGTCCAGCAGTGACACTGAGGTGTTTAAAAACTCCAGCAGCACTGCTGTGTCTGATCCACTCAGACCAGCGCAACACACACTAACACACCACCACCACATCAGTGTTACTGCAGTGCTGAGAATGATCCACCACCCAAATAGTACCTGCTCTGTGAGGGTCCATGGGGGTCCTGACCACTGAAGAACAGGGTAAAAGAGGGCTAACAAAGTATGCAGAGAAACAGATGGACTACAGTCTGTAACTGTAGAACTACAAAGTGCACCTATATAGTAAGTGGAGTTTGTGTATGTTGTTAATTTGTCTGTATAATAAATCAGTTAAAACTTTAGCGGCTTTATAGTGGTCTTTGTACCCCTTTATTGTGCTCCTCCATCCTCTAGATACTGTCCCTCCCTCCTCCTAGACCTGAGCCTATGGTTGGGACATAACAGCTTTAGAAACATCATAAATGCATATTTTTCAACTACTTACTTCTCTTGAACCCATATAGTGTGGTTGCTGAGATGGCAGCCACCCCAACAAATGATATATTGTTGGAAAAGCCAGGATGTCTTTACATGGCACACCACATTTCAGCACTGTAGCTTATATGGTTTTTGAAATATTCTTTGGGGACTTCTGTCCCCCACAGAGGACAACAATGATTACCAGGTCTCATGAGGATATAGAGTTACAGTGCATTAGGCCTGGAGCGCTTTCCTTCACGTGATGGTGAAAGCAAGCCTTAAAGACTTCGCAAGGGCCCAGAAGCATTTCACAATGCAGCTCTTTCTGAGTTAAAATAATTAAAACACTGATGACCAAAAGTCCTATAAAAATTCCATAGTGCTTCTTAGATAGTGGCAAACTAAGCCAAGTAGGCCAAGTTATGAGCCCTAAACGTGAAACTGAGCTTGGTTTGTGGTATGATGCTTCGCGATAACATCCAGGGCATCACCAAGCCAGCTATCCGCCGTCTGGCTCGCCGTGGCGGTGTCAAGCGTATCTCTGGTCTGATCTATGAGGAGACCCGCGGCGTGCTCAAGGTGTTCCTGGAGAACGTGATCAGGACGCCGTCACCTACACCGAGCACGCCAAGAGGAAGACCGTCACCGCTATGGATGTGGTTTACGCCCTGAAGCGTCAGGGACGAACCCTGTACGGCTTCGGAGGCTAACGCTCGACTCGAACAACGATAAACCAACGGCTCTTTAAGAGCCCCCCACAGACCCACCGGAAGAGTTTTTCCTTATAACCCAGTAATAGTGAAACAACAAGCATTGTATATGTCTCCATGGTAATTTTGCTTTTTAAAGACAGAGTGAGCTTGATTTAATACCGGATCAACTGGAGTGGTGGCGAATGCTTAACTAGCTTGAAAACCCTTTGTTTGTACGATTGTACGATCATTTTATTTCATGCGCTTTCTTGAGTTGACAGGCAAAACATTTTCGTGTGTGTGTAAGGAATGAGAACTCGTTATATTTAGAATAAGCCCGATAAGGACATTTGTATTGTACGTGTGATACCCAATAGCTAAGAATGCGCGGGAAGTGACGCCCGTATTACACGCATCACTCTCTTCGCTACGCCACGGACACCGCTAGTTTAGGATAGTTGATGTTCTCCTCACACAGTCACAGCACGTGAATGAACTCTGGGTTACTAGAATAGTTACTCTCTTGGGTAAACAGTTAGGTGCTCTTAAAAGAGCCGTTGGGTGATTTGGGAAACCTGGGAGCGCCACGCTGTTTAATTTATGCGCGCGCTCCGCGGATACAGGGCGGTGCCAGCTGGATGTCTTAGCATGAGTGTCGGTGACGTGCTCTGGCGTGGACTGGCGCACAGTATCTAGTGTCCTCAGAACATGACCCACCACAGTACGCCTCGCTAGCCTCCTGCAGGGCCATGACAGGCAGAGGAGCTCTGGACGCGAGAATGAACCGTCTTGAGTCTCTGAGCGATCTACACGCACGAGCGCTGGAAGGGCTAGCTACGAATCAGCAGCAAGCTGCTGTGGCATTCTGGTACGGCGGATCTCCCTCAGAGCCACGGTGCCAGGCCCTGTAACGGGTGAGGCTCTTGACACCTGCCAGGAGCCGGAGCGCTCTTACGAGCAGTCACCTTGTAGCCAGTCTGCTTCGCGGGCTTGCCACCGTAGTTGCGGCGGTCTGCTTGGTTCATGCCTAGGACGTCAACTTTGTTGCTGTCTGCACCAAAGAGAACGGAATAACTCTGCAGCACAGACCCGCGGCCCTTTTAAGGTTCGAGGCTGCTCGCCGCATCATTGGGCAGCGTCCGGAATGATGCCCGCCTCCATTGGACGCGCACGCACGATGGCTACACGATCCATTGGCGTTTCTGCCGCGCCAACATTTTCAAACTACAAGGCAGCCTGCCCCAACGACCTGGCGGCTCATGTACACATTGATTGTTTTTTTCTGTTTTACAATGTTCGGTGTAACGTTACTCGATTTTTGGTTCATTGCAATATTACACGCCTGTTATTGACCTTTTTTCGCGGAGTTACAGACGTTCGTGTGCAAGGTTTCTTCGCCTGTATTCGCGTACAATAGAGCTTTTAAGTCACTACTTCTAAAGCTGCACGTGCGAAAAATGTGATAAAATCATGACTTTGTCAGCAGTGTATCATAGATCAGTCATAACTTGTCACGTTGTGTGTACGGAATGAAAATAACTAAACTTGTGATCAGTAATACCTGACAGGAACGTATGTAATGCTACAACAGTAGATAAGAATGCGCGGAAGGTGACCAAAGCGGCGGTATTCAGCACGCACTCGTCGCGGACGTGGTGAAGCTGTGATGCTTTATTTCATTCTATCCTACACACGCGATAGAATGAATGAACTACGATCACTAGAAAGTCGTTTTATTTTTCATACTTGTAGCATAAGGACAACGACTGCACTTTTGTTGCTATGGTGGGTGGCTCTTAAAAGAGCTTTGTATAATTTGGCAGAAGACCTCAATTATTTGTCTTGGCGCCTTCTCTGTTTTCTTGGCGCAGACAGCCGAATGTTAGGCAGAACACCACCCTGAGCGATGGTCACTCCTCGAGCAGTTTGTTGAGCTCCTCATCATTACGAACGGCAACTGCAGGTGACGAGGGATGATACGGGTCTTCTTGTTGTCGCGAGCGCGTTGCGGCCAACTCAAGGATCTCAGCGTCAGATTACTCCAGGACGGCAGCCAAGTAGACTGGAGCCCGGCGCCGACGCGCTCGGCATAGTATGCCTTTGCGCAAAGCCTATGCACACGGCCCACAGGAAACTGCAGCCCGGCGCGGAAGAGCGAGTCTTGCCTTCGCCCTAGCTTACCTCCGGTTCTTCAGCTCATTTTGCACTTCTGTTGAGTTTGATGAACTAAGCAAAATAAACAGCAATCGTTCCGAACGCCCTCCATATAGGCAAAGCTGCCATGTTTCTATTGGCTAAAATGCGATGGCATCCAACAACCAATCATATTAGCGTCGTCATAATTTGGGCCCGCCACTTTCTTCTCCAAGCCCTCTGCTTCCCCCCACTCCCCTTATCGCTTGCGCGCTGCGTGTATGTGTTACAGAGATAGAGAGAGAGAGCGATAAATACACACGATACTTTGGGAGATGAAGATAAATTATGTGCTGCAGACACATATCAAATATTTTTTTTATGTAGTGTGTATAGCTTTTATATTATTGATCACACGTTCTCTCTTAATGCTTTATTGTTATCATCTTGGTTTTGTAATTACTATTATAATTCATATGCATATTATTATTACACATGTAATTTGTCATGTCACATAAAGCAACCTGACTGAACTGAGGAGAACGAGATGAGGACAAGGAAACAAGCAAGTCCTGTTTCCTCGCTGTGTTTTTATCCAATTTCAGCCCTACTCTCATCCGTGTAAATGCAAACGGCAACTCGGTCATAATTTGACCCTGGCGCTTTAAAGTATTACGACTGGCCAGTTTTTAAGTGCAGCACGAAAGAAAATCGAACTCTTTAATAGAAAATGTGGGTGGCTCTTAAAGAGCCGTCAACGGCTTTTTTTCAATAGGAGAAACAGGACATGAGGTGAACAGCACGTTGACTTCTTCTTGGGAGCCGCCTTTTTCGCCGTCTTGGGCTTGGCAGCTTTGGGCTTGACCGCCTTTGTTTTCTTCGGGCTCTTGGCCGTCTTCTTCGGGCCGCCGGCTTCTTGGCTTTTTTGGGAGACTTGGCGACTTTCTTGGCGGCCGCGGGCTTCTTCGCCGTTACCTTCTTGGCTTTTTCGGCGACTTCTTGGCGGCCGCGGGCTTCTTCGCCGCTACCTTCTTGGGCTTCTTGGCGCGGCGGGCTTTTTGGCGGCCGCCTTCTTGGTTTGGTCGCTGCTTTCTTCGCCGGCTTCTTCTTGGCCTCGGCTTGCTTCTTGTTGAGCTTGAAGGAGCTGACGCACCGGTGCCTTTGGTCTGCACAGGTGCCCTTCGTCACGAGGCTCTTGACGGCGAGCTTGACGCGGGAATTGTTCTTCTCCACGTCGTAGCCGCCGGCAGCCAGGGCTTTCTTGAGAGCGGCGAGAGACACGCCGCTCCTCTCCTTGGACTGCAGAAAGAGCCTTGACGATGAGCTCGCCGACGCTGGGGCCGGCTTTCTTGGGCCGGGCAGCGCTTTCTTCTTGGGAGCTTTGGCCGGCGCGGCGGCTGGAGCAGGAGCGACTTCTGCCATCGTTCTGCTTTTGCTGCGAGCGGAGCGAGAAGAGCACAAACTAGACTGTTCAGAGGAACCTCCCTCTCAGGCGGGGAGCCGGCCCCTTAAAGGCACATGAGAACGGTGTAGACTCAACCACGCGGGCGCTGTGCCTCTTTGTCTCGTGACGCGCTCAGATTTGTGTTTTCTCGTGGCATTTATCGGGCAAAATACGACAGAATGCGCCGCTGGCGAGCGTCCAACGGCTCGTTCCTCTAGAAGAGGCTCTGCCGTGTGTCCCCAGTCCGGGAATGGGTGCACAGCGACGCCTCGTTTACAGGGCGGCTCTCAAAAGGGCGCCGGGCGGTCGCCGCTCCGAACGAAAGACGGCGTATTTGGCGCGATAATCGGTGGAAAACGGTGGCAAACGGCGGCGTGAACTTTCGGAGAGCTCAACAGCGCGTTCGGGGAGAGCCTCGGCGAGGGCGTGGGCGAACTTCCCAGCGACCGAGCGCCTCGTTGACTATGTGTCAAACGGGCTCTCTTGGAGCGAGCAAAGCACAGGCGTGAGGTCGGCGGCCCGCGGGGCCAGAGCCTGCTCTCTGCTGATGTGCTGTCTGTACAAAAAAGCCATGTAAATGAACTTTGACTTACAGTGCGAAATAACCCAAATCTCATATGGAAAGCATTATTATGTCATGATATTTTACTGTATGGCTCTCCATACTCCATGGCTTTGTGTGTGTGGGTGACCCTGAGTGTGAACGCAAAGTGCAGTGGTGTGGCCAAGTAGGCCACATCTAGGAGAGGCACACACAGAGAGAAGAACCTGTTGTTCCATTTTAAGACTAAAACGTCTTTGAAGGAGAAAAGAACATACGTAGACAGACCTAGCTGTAACCATATTGAATAGTAGTAATACACAGAGTCAATAAAGTGTAAAAGGCCTTAGCCTGATTGTGGCCTTGGCCTGTGATCATCATTATGTTATATAAAAAATATATGTTACTTTTTGGTTTGGAAATAATGGAATCATTCTTGATAAGAAAAAAAATAATAATGACGTTAACAATGATGTGAACGATAATAAAAGAAATTTGTAAGGTTTGGATATAATGGTATTCAAAGTAGTCATGAAAGTTGGAGATAATGGTGTGTAACCATTTGGGATGGGCAAGGAGGGGTCATCACCTTACTCTGACCTCAGCAACGGTCAAGGTCTTGCCCTAAATCTACTTTCACTTTAACTAATTTCACCACAAACCTCAAAAAAGGTCTAACTCTAAATTTGCTATTACTCTAAATACATTTTAAGCTTGAAGGCTAGATGTAAGACAAATTTGGCCTACTCTAACTACAACATGAGCTTAAAGCCTCAGTTCTGTACATGATTTTAATTTTATAGCTTCATCATAAGTCTATTGGAGCACTATACATTTCAGTTTTCACTCACTCTTACTACTTCACAAGCCTGAGGCCCTGCCTTAAGATTACTTTGACATTCTTTATCTGTAGCACTATAACATCTCGTTCTCACACTAACTACACTACAAGCCTATAGGACCTCATTCTAAACCTACCATCACTTACTGAAATCTCATTTTGCTAACTCTAACTTCTTTAGAAGCCTAAGACATCACCCTATACTGACTTTTACAATCTCTTATATTATTCATAAACCTAAGACGGAGCTCTATAGCAACACTTTCTTAAGCTTTCTACATTATAAGCTTTAGTGCTCACTGAAAGCCTATTTTTGCTTACACTAGCTTCATCATAAGCGTTAGACTTAAAATATATACAGAGTAAGTAAAAGGGCTTATAGAGCTACACCTTAGATTTATGTTTTATTCTTATCTCCTCATGAATCCACTGTTATTTACTTTACTACAACAAAGACACAAAACCTAGCTAGATGCTCCCTTTGCTTAATCTGACTTCATCATAAGCCTAAGGCCTTGCCCTAAACCTATTTTGACATTATCCAACTTGACCATAAACCCAAAAACCTAATATAACTTACTCCAACTACATTTTGAGCCAGTGTACAGATGAAAGGCTTGATTCTGGCTTGCTTAAACCGTATCATCAGCTAAAGCCTAGCTCTGCACCTGCTGTCATTCTACAACTTCATCATAAGTCTAACGGCTCGCTATACATCTCAGTTCACTCACTCTTACTCCTTCACAAGCCTGGGGCCCTGCCCTACTTTAACATCATTTAACTTAGCTCCATAGCTACTGCTACTCACTCTAACCTGCTATCATTTACTCCATCTACATTTTAAGCCTGAGGCCTAGTTTGAAAGCTAATTTTGTTCACTCTTCTTCTTCTGAAGCCTAAGGCTTTGCCCTACACTAACGCTATCTTCATGATAAGCTCCACAGCTACCTTTAGTAACTCTGACTACTTTAGAAGCCAGAGGCTTAGTGATAAATCTATATAAAACTACTTTTGCTTATTCTACCAGCAGCAATAGCCTAGGTTTAGCTCTTTAGCTACCTGTACTTGATGGCACTTCAGCATTAGCGTAAGGCCTACTTACTCTAACTGCATCATGGGCCTAATGCCTGGCTCTATATCATAGACTTAATACGACGTAGCATCTAAACCAACTTTAAGTTACTCATTATTTAATTTTTATTTGTGTCATAAACAATAACAACAATAATAATAATACAAAGAAAAAAGTTTTGCTTACTCTACCTTCAACATACTACTGCAGGGCATACAGTATAACCTTCATTTTTATACTTTTTTATAGTTTCATAGTTCTTTCCATTTGTACCACACACACTGACCTCCTCTTATTCCACTATTCAAAGCCTTAAAGTCAAGTCAAGAGGCTTTATTGTCATTCCATCTATGTACAAGTACACAGTGGAGTGAAATTACGTTCCTCCAAGGAACAACACGGTGCAACAAGGAACAAAATAGACAGTACAAAGAAAAAAAAAATCAAACTAGAAACAATACAATAAATACAATATATAAAAACAGACATTCAGACACAGTAACGGGACAGGACAGTGCAGCGCCGACACAGCACTCATTTCTGAGTATGAGGTAGTGGAATAAGGTGCAAAGATTATTTAACATGCTGTGATCTGTGAGTTTACGCAGTCAGATTGTAACATACGTGAACACAGCAGTTCCTGAGGTAGGTACACAGTACCAGAGTGAAGAAAGTGCAAGCACTGTATTAGCAGCAATGTTCCAGATGGAGGGGTGAGAGACCCCAATGATCTTCTCAGCTGTCCTCACTATTCTCTGTAGGGACTTGCAGTCGGAGGCAGTGCAATTCCCAAACCAGGCAATGATGCAGCAGTAGAACATGCTGAAGATGGGGTTGTGGGGCTTTCTAAAGGAGGTACAATGTTCCCAGAAGTACTGCAATACCAGGTTGATGCGTGGAGCTTACGGAGCAAGCTCCTCTTCCGTCTCCTTGTTGTAAATATCAATTTAATGTGTAGCCCTCATTTAGAGGACGCATCAGATATTAAACTAATAAGAAACAGATACTACACTTGATCAAGTACAAAAGGCAGAGAAGCAATAAAATGCTAAATATTAAAGAATACATAAGTAAACAGCTCTTACAATAACAAATGTGCACACAATGTTTTATTTTTATTCATAATACACACATGCATGTCAAGAAAAGAAAAAATGATAGAGGTTAGAAGCGTTATAACTCAAAACAAAGCCTGGATGTTTCCTGTATTTTACAGGTGTTTGCAGAAGGAATTGCAGATCACGTACTGGAACAAACACACTTTTTGTATACACAAACCAAAGGATGTGCATTTAAACACTTACATAACTCATTCTACTACAAGCCTTACAGTACCCACACAAAATAAGCTCTTTAAGCGGAAACGTGGGTGGCTCTTAAAAGAGCCGTTGGGTTTGATGAAATTTGTCACTTGTTACTTGGAGCTGGTGTACTTGGTGACGGCCTTGGTGCCCTCGGACACGGCGTGCTTGGCCAGCTCACCGGGAAGAAAGCAGGCGCACGGCGGTCTGGATCTCCCTGGACGTGATGTAGAGCGTTTGTTGTAATGAGCCAAACGAGACGACTCACCGGCGATGCGCTCCGAAATGTCGTTGACGAACGAGTTCATGATGCCCATCGCCTTGGAAGAAATGCCGGTGTCGGGTGGACCTGCTTCAGCACCTTGTACACGTAGATCGCATAGCTCTCTCCCTTCTGACTTTCTGCGCTTCTTGCCTCCCTTACCAGCCGTCTTAGTCACGAGCTTTCTTGGAGCCCTCTCTTCGGGGCGGACTTGGCGGTGCAGGCATGGTTTTCCCTTTTTCGAGTTCACCGAAGCATGATGCAGCGCGCCCGCACCAGGCTTATCTAGACTCCGATATTCAAATTATAGCTCCGCCTTCTGATGCCAACAACGATCATTGGACAACAATCATCGTTCGATTTGGGTCGCACGCCCATCCCCTCCCCCTCCTACTCTCTTCCAGCTCAAGACTTTCCCTTTGTTCGCCTTCCCGCGCATTACTTATCTACTGTGTGCCAATTTTGTATATACATACGTTCCTGATCAGTTATTACGATTATGACTCCCGAAAGCGCATAAATATATCACATTTTCGCACAATGTAAGTTTAAAGTGTGACTGTGTGTGTGTTTGTGTGTGTGTATGACCGCACATCTATTATCTATTTTAATTCTTATTTACTTTAGCTACTGCAAAGTGTTTGTCGATACTGTGCACTGTGACCTCAACTCCGTGTATGTTGAAGCGTATCTTCTAGCTTTGAGTGCTTTGAGACTCTTTCGTTGTGAGACAACTAAAGGAGTATTTTTGATCTGAAATTAAAGATTAAAATATGTTCAACTTTATTAGGAGTGGACCGTCCAGCTAGTTGAGCTTCTCGCCTCCACTCTTTCCCAGTTATTTCAAGTATCAATTAAAGTCATTCCGTCAGTGTTTAAGAGGTAAACTCATTAGCAGTCGGAATGCACTAAAGTCTGCTTTCATTACTACATGAATCACTAAGGAAAACGCTCTCTGGTGGGTCTGTGCGTCTAAAAGAGCCGTTATTTATCGTGTCGAGTCGAGCGTATTAGCCTCCGAAGCCGTACAGGGTTCGTCCCTGACGCTTTCAGGGCGTAAAGACCACATCGCGTGGCGTGTGACGGTCTTTCTCTGGCGTGCTCGTGTAGTGAGACGGCGTCCCTGATCCCGTTCTCTCCAGAACCTACCTTGAGCACGCGCGGTCTGCCTCATAGATCAGACCAGAGATACGCTTGACAATTACATATACCACACATATAGTGACGCATACTATTACCACCCGCTACCTTCTAAAAATACTATTTACTTAACAGTTATACTTTATAAGGTTACTATATTTGCACAGACAGCGTGTAACGCTGTTAACATCCATATTCTCTTTGTTGGTTTACCACCTAAACATGGCCAACTGCCCTGCTGCAAGCTCATCCACCTCACTCTCTGACCGAACTGAGACTAGTCTCATTTGTAAGAGAAGCAGTAAAACTTCCAAAGTACCTTAAAGAGAACAAACAGAGAATAATAATTATGTATATCTCAGCACTTATGCTGTCTAATGAAGCAAATATCTAGATCAATTATTGGCCAAAGCAAACAAATTTCATTATCATTAAACCTCATAAACCTGATCTCATATCATAAATATAGTAGTGAGGGTTATAATTGGTACTAACTGAAATAAAGAATTACACAACAAATGTTGCCCTTTATATTGATTTACATATGGCATTTAAAATCTCATTTAAAGTACATTTCTCACATGTGCAATATTCCTATTACAACTCTTTAACGACCTCGTAATTCAGCAGGATCCAGTGGTGTTCGAGAGAGAGAGACGTTCCCTAGACAGAGCGTATCGGTTCGTGACATGTTTTATTGAACCCAGGGGATGCGCTAGAGGCGATTTTTTCGAAACCCTGTTTCATTCTGTCCTGGCCGATAAGAAATGGAGTCTCAGAGCGCCGTAGCTCCTAACTATTGGCATACGTAGCACAAAATAGAGACTGACACGACGCTACAGGTCTACAGAGCAGTGTAGCAGAATCAGTGATACCCGGTGAGAGCACATCTCTGATAGGTAGTGTGGGATGACATCATGGT